GAAACAGAGTTGGCCAAACTCTCTCTCTACGGCTCTGCTGTTTCGACTTTCATAATTGGGAGGCCAATCCAACTAGTGTGACCGACCCAGAATTTCTAGCCTGGCTTGAAATCTCACCCGCGGTGAGTCAAGCCAGGCTTGAGACGCTAGTGCGACCGTAGCCAACGAAATCTCAGATTTAAATGACTGTTTTACCATTCATAACGTTTATTTTACTTATTAACCTGTAGTTAGTAGGGTTAGTAATAACTCAAAATAATTTTTTTAGCAAGCAGTGACTGGTTTGGCTTTTCTTTGCTACATACCATATGTACTGCCGGACTCGTATTTGAGGAAATAAATATATTATTTATATATAATATAAATATATATCTATATACTATACACACACATTTACCAATATTTATATACTTTACAAATATTTACCTGTGATATAGCCTGTGTATGTTACTCGAACCCAATAGCCCCATATCAAAGACGTATCAATATAGATTATTGTAGTTGGTTTAAACATTAAACCAGATTCTTCCAAGACCTCCCTTTTTACTGCTTCCTATCAAAGAGAAAAGAAAAAATAAAAACCATTAGCTAGCAAATGTGTCCAACTTAATGAAAAATTCCTTACAACTTTCATTGTGTTTAGAAGATTTACGGAAAATTTATATACTTCTTCTAAACTTTAAAAAAAAATTTTAATTTTTTTTATTTTACTACTGTTTTTTAATTCCATATTCTTAGGGGACTGGCTTAGCTGGTTGTAGCCATTGTATGTATGCTGAACCATTGACATCTTAGGTCCCTGATTCAATTCCAATCGTTGATGTGTAGGGTTGAAATACAAGTTACAATACAAGTCTTTTGAATACTGTAGACCATTTAAGCAGTTGGTCACGTTGGTCACGTGTGCAATATGGCCCACATGCACATTGAAGAATGTGGTACTTTCTTTGGAAAAATGGTCTCCAGGGAGTATTGCCCATTTCAACATCAGAAAGACCTCAATGGAAGTAAGTCTACAGACTTTCGTGGTTTATCATTGGTGTATTTCCCACTGACAAAAATTCAATCCCAAATCCAATCTTTAAAAGTACACTTCATCCAAGGAATTCCGGGAGGGTTCACTGACACTCACTGATGTCACCTGACTTGAAAACGGCTTTCTGTTGGATCACAGGCCCAACCTTCCTCTCTAATGAATTTGAAATCCACCAGCAAAAGGAATTATAATTACCAGGAGCATGGATCAGGTTGGATTGGTGTGTTGAATACTGTAAATGGATTCATGAATGAAAAAATAAAGAAAGAAATAAATGATTGAATGAGTTAATGAATAAAAATAAAGGAAATAATAAAATGATTGAATGTATAAGTAAATATAGCTTGTAAAATTAACCTAGTAGTAACAAAATTAATTTTAATAATTTAGTAAATAGATACACTCTACTTCCAATCAACATAACCAGATTTTAATGGTCAACAATGAACACAAATAAAGGAAATAATAAGTGATTGAATGTATTAAAGTAACTATAGCTAATAAAATATAACCTAGTAAAAAAATGAAGTTTAAATAATAGTAAATAAAAAAAAACCACTACTTCCGATCAACACAACTAGATTTTAAGAGTCAACAATCAAGGCACCAAAAAATAGATCAATACACAATTTTATCAGATACTAAATCATATTAATTGGTAGGTAGAATCTTGGAACTACTTCCTTCGGAAATCATGCAATCGATATTCTGTAGGATATTGAACTCCATATGAGGAAAATAAAGGGTTCAGGTCACATCCTCGGTATACGCACCTCATATGAACTTGTCCATTACCTCTTGTGGTTTGTGGTTTACACTCAATGTTTATAACTAAACAAAATTATAGCTGTTATAATTAGGGAGGTTATGAATAAATATTACCTGGAATAATACAGGCCAAGACCTAAAACTATGACATATTAATCTACTTTTTTTAGAATTGTTTTTCAAATGAGAACCATGTAATCGTAATGCACGATTTATATTGTAATTTATTAGTATTAGTTTGAACTTCAAAGTTTGTTTAGTTTACCTCATTGTTGGAATTCTTGATATATGCTCACTTCCCTTTCTGAATTCCATGTTTATGTTTTTTTTATCTTGATTGTATTTTCAATGTTGATGAGTTATTTCAATGAAGATCATTTGCTATGAATAGACTTTGAATAGTCAGTCTTAAAAAATTAAAAGCACAATGTAAAAATATGACACAAAATCTTTCTTGGAGAAGATATATAGTTCACAAAATGTACTAAAACTATTTTTAAAATGTTATTTATGATACAGGTACCCTTTGACTCAGGGGTGGAGTGAGATTTCCATAGTTACCAGTCCAGTAAAGAAATAATGAGCACTGGTGAGTGCTAGCATTTCAACAATACAATTCATAGAGGAGATGTAGCTTTCCAATCTCAGGGTCTTAGTTTGAAACCCTGTGACAACTTAGGATTTTTCTTAAGACTAAAAACATATCTATTCCAAGCCTCATAAAAAATAAATGAGATACTAAAAACTATTGAATATCACTTCTGAGCACTCCAGATGCCCACTTTAGATATATTTTAATATTCTTTTTCATAACAACGTTATCGTAATTATTATTTTTCCTTCTAAATATGGTGCCATACCTCAGAGGCACATTGGTCGGTTAAGAAAGGTTTCCTTAAAATCGCTACGCTGTCGCTACAGTGTTTTCAGTTCAATCTTTGTACCGCGTAGCAGTCCCCATGACACAAGGTCTTCCAAGGGAGGGGGATTTTCTGGGTGTGAGGTCCATAGTGGAAGTCGCGAAACCCCCAAAGTAAGAGGATTTTTGTGCTTTATGGGTCTAAATAATGCTATAAAAGCAGATGTTTGAAAATTTATGTGTCTGGGTGGGTCTGCAGTGCATTAGTTAGGTTGGAGGACTTATTTGGGAAATTTAAAGAGGGTGTTTCGCCAGAAAAGAGGGTGGTTTGCTAGAAAAGGGGGTTCTCCCGAACCATAAAAACCCCCCCCTGGATACGGGCGATTGTATGAAAACCAAGCTTGACTGAATGAAATATAAGCCAATTCACCACTGAACTAACTATGGACAACTAAATTATAAACTTTTGAACTCGGCCAATAAAATTAAACATAACCTCAACTCAACACTACAATTAACTGTCCATAAAAGCAAGAATAATATTTCACACTTTAAGAAATCTTTTATCATTTCAATTTTATTTCTTTCAAATCCAATAAAAGGAGCACTTGTCAATTAATATGCTCTATAAACCCAGTATATTTATACAGGTAGGCATAAACAGTTGTGGTGTACTCCTAGGGCAACATCGTCAATGGCGCTGCGATTATTTTATGTAAAGTGGGACACAAAGCGTGAAAGTGGCACATAACAACGGTAGAAAAAACAGACCTACGCAACTACACGAGAGAGCAACGTCCCTCAGCATATAATCAGTTTATACTTATAATACTGTGACTATAGATGTAAAGTGACCTATTTACACAAAGCATGACAGCGGCACATGACAGCGGCAGAAAAAACAGACCTACGCAACTACACGACAGAGCGACGTCCCTCAGCATAGAATCAGTTTATACTTATAATACTTATAATACTGTGACTATTTGATGTAAAGTGACCTGTTTACACAAAGAAAAAACAGACCTACGCAACTATGCAACAAAGCAATGTATCGCTCAGAATATTGTTTTCTACTTCCAATACTGCGATTATTGATGTAAAGTGACTTATTACACAAAGCAGAGCAGCGGGCTAGAAAATAGACCTATGAAACTACGCAACAGAACAACGTAAAATCAGCATAAAATCATTTTCTATTTCCAAAAATTTGACGCGCAACAAAAAATATTACCAAATATTCACTTTAATATTATTCTCTGAGCATATTGACTGCAGAACAAACCACAAAAGTGCGCACAACTGTTGTCGCACGCTGTGTAAAAGAATTGCATGCTGTCGCATACTGCTCTGCATTCTGTTGTTGTGTGTCATTGCCGCATTATCTATAAAGAGATCCTATTGCTCATCATTGTGCTAATCATTGACATGCTTTTATCAAAGTAGCTCACATTTTACAAGGTAATGTTGTCAATATACCATTAATAGTGCCAAAAAAATATTTTTTTTAGTACCACAGGTGGTATAAATATCAGAAATTCAATGTTTGAAGTAATATCATATCTATTCAAGTAAAAATTAAAAAAATTCTCAACACTGTTATAATATACTATGGATGAATGAACTCTAATAGTGTATTAAGTATGTTAATAAATCTCTATTAAGTTTAATTGGAGTAATAAAAAAGGTCATAACCCAACATAATATCACAAATTATAATAATTAAGGTTTTCGAATCCCAGAAAACTTTACATGGGAGAGGGAGGGAAGAAAGGGGAGAATCATCTTAAATATTCTCTCAAACTGTTTTGTTTTGGAGGGCGGGAGGGTGTGCACCCCTCATGCACCTACCTAGATACGCTGCTGCCTCGAGGTGGTCTCTGACAAAACATTCCTCAAATTGTATTGTCACAAATAAACTTTAGACGTGCCAAAATCTTCTTGGCCCTCTATTTCTTTTTTTATATAGTTTTTATCACTTTTGTTATGCTGTAGTGCTAGTCCTTCCCATATAAAACCAGTAACAAAACAGACTAAATAGTAACACACAAAAAAAATATGTAAATTAAACTAAAATGAGGATTAACCAATAAAATCTCCATCAATAATATTTTATAATTTGTTAATTTTTTTTTGTTAATGAGTTGTGTTTGTTGCGTGTGATAATATGCCAATCATGTCACCACATCCTGGTTCACAACCTATGCAATATTTTTATGGTTTCCTTAAATGAGTTTTAAAGGGATTTTAAATGATTCCTAAAATAAATTTAGATTTTATCTAAAACCAGTCCAATGTCAAAGGTATACAGTAAACGTTTATTTTTAGTTAGTTTTAGGAAACAATTTTTTCTTGACTTATACTTATACTCACTTATACTTACCCGATGAAGCCCCATTGATTGGGGCGAAAGCTTGTGAAATAAAATCTATTGTTAGTCTACCTACTCATTTTTTACTTAAGTAAGTTTTGAGAATAATTAACATTAATGTGAAATTATTGTAGAATAATTAGAGAAATTATAAATGGCTTAGGGAAATTTGTTGAAGGGAATTTTGAAGGCTTCAAAATCACAGGCATCAAGTAAGCAAAGAATCGCTTGTTTCCCACTTCCCTTTAATCAAAAGATCAAGTAATCTACAATATGTGTACCTTTATGAACAAAGAAAATGATGTGGAACCATCGTTAGTATGAATAATGTATCACATTAATAATGATGAGATAATAAAAATCGAACAAAGAATTTTCAAGTAATACACAAATCAATGGTGATGTTGGTAGTCTATGAGTGGATACTTACCTGGATCAACTGACTAATAGACTCATGAATACATACATCACACTTACCACCAGATAAAACATGCTTAGCAGATACTGTATTTTGTTTATATGAGCTTATAATGTGTAATAAATGAGCATGGTGTTTGGTACAAAAAATTGTTTGATGTGTGCTTGTATAGCAAAGCCAGAAGTAAAACAGTTACCATCAATTGGAATTTGTTTGACAAAAAACTGTTGTATGCCCATATATAGTCATGATGTGCCTATATATGGTTAGGATGTGATGTCATCATGACCATATTTAGGCACGTCACATATTTTTGTCAAATAAAATTTAAGTCTGGATAGGGCTTTATGTTGAGAGCACTGTCAGCAATCAGGAACCTGTGAAATCTGTTTAAATCTGTTAATGGAATTTACGCAATATAAATAAATTAATTATTAATTATTATTAAATGTTTTCCAGCTAATATGGTACTTAAATATATTTTGATCTATTAACAAAAAGTGTGGATATCAATTGATATAGGACTTTCTAATTAATTATATTTTTTGAACAAAACATAAGGTGTGAGGTACTGTATAAACACCTTCTTTCCCTTAGGAAAGAATGAAGGTAGAAAAAAAATCAAAGATGGGTATTAAAAGTGGAGATAATCAAGGGAAGAAGTACTGTTGGGAAAAGTTGATTTCAAAAGCAAAATGGAAATAGTAAATAGAAATGTAATAATAAATACCAAATATTAAAAACAAAAGGCGATTTGCCACAATGGGTGTTACATAATTTCTGTGCTAAAAATAGTCAATTTTCAGAGGTAACAATAACAGGAAAATAGTATTTCATCTGATTTTGCAACATTCAGTAGGTCAGTAAACATGCGACCGTTGTTTATATTTTCTACACCAACATATACAGCACAAAACCAATACCGGAAAAGGAGGGAAGAGGTGATTGAATATGGTAAGGAGTGGATATGGAAAGAAGCAAACAAGAGGGGAGATGAATGAATGTGAGTGTATTGAACGTAAGAAAAAAGGCAGTGACAGAGCTAAAGAACACTAGACAGATTATTATTACAAATAAAATTGTTTGCAAAAGTACCAAACACATACATCAGACAAGAAAAATACAAGAAGCAATCACGAAAGTTCACATGACAATGAGTAAACCGACTCTGGACAGCTTAATTGTTGTAAAGAAACCAAAACCTAAATGTAGAAACATCAATTATTGACTCAGAAAGCTAAAATTTTTCTACTTTAATGGTAAGGTTCTTCAAAAAATAAGTGCTATTTTTCCTGAGCAGAAAATCAAATGCGAAAGCACAACTTAGTAAAACCTTCCTGAGTGCATACTAGTACTGCACGCATTGATACTCAGTAAAACCTACTGCTTATTTAAATGTGAAGTGTGAACAGTGGTATGATTTCATTAAGGTAAAGTTACCCTTCCTCTTGGTAAAAATTATGTCCAATGTGAACACAGAGTAAGTCTCTCAAGTGGTGTCTTTTTCTGTTATCATTATTCTAGAGCTTTGTCCACACTATCTTTGACAAAAAATGGTTGTATGCCCATATATAGTCATGATGTGCCTATATATGGTCATGATATGATGTCATCATGACCATATTTAGGCATGTCACATGTTCTTGTCCACACTATCATATTTTATTTTATAAAAAAAAAACTGTTGTATGTCCATAAACATTTCATCAGCAATTATGATTTGCAAATATAAAAGGCATCATGGTACAAATAACATGGAATACATCAACACCATTATCTGTCGTTACGCTCTGTTTCTGCCATTACAATTCTTAATTCTGTTCTCTTGATTCATCCAATAGCTAATCAAGAAAACTAATCACCGCTTTACAGGAAATGTTATCTTTTTATTGCAAGGTAATTAGAACATTCAAGCCAGGGAATGTGAAGTTGAGAAAGTTGAAAGCAGAAGCTACTTAGAGGGGAAACAGGAACATCCCTCCTCTTTCTTCATCTACCAAATGTCATATGTAAGGCATGCTAATAAGAATATAGGGTGTGGCAATAGTTTAGTTGAGTTGTTATTTGGAATCACTTTTATACAGTGGCACACATCCAAAATGACGGTGCATCCAAAAGAGAAAAATCAACAGTAAATTGAAAAGAAAAATACCTTAATTACTAAAATTATTACAGGTACAAAGGGGTTTGGAATATAAAGCAAAATGATAACATTTCATTACACAAGTTTATTAAAAAAATAAATATTAAAAAATTTAAAAAAATAAAAAAAACAATAATAATAATAATAATAATAATAATAATAATAATAATAATAATAATAATGTGAATAATAATAATAATAATAAAGGAAATAAATAACTTAAAATATTGGTGGTGCTTAGGTATTAATGTTTTTATAGATATATGATCTCAAATTCAATGCTTGTTGAATGTATTTTTTACAATATTTATCAATGATAATTGAAATATTTTCATCTATATCAGACATATCATCTAAAATGTTTAAAATCATTAGAATCAGAAGTTAGTCCAGTGAGTTTCTAAATCATGGTGACGTAGATCTCTTTCCAATTCAGTTGAAAAATAGTATAATAGTAAATATCCCAAAATTCCCACATTATAGAGATTTCATCATTTCAACATTTTCATCCTTCTATGCATATTAAATATGTAGATATCCAGAGCTTTTTTAAGTCAAGAGAAGCAAAACCATGATGGACAATTGATGCTTTATAAATTTTAAGTCTGTCCTTTAAGAGGCTCGGGAAGAATAGAGTTCTACGTGGCTAGGAAATGGGTCATTGATGCTCAACAACCAAGCCCCTTTATGAGGCTTGGGGGTAGAATACCAACTATTTCTACCCTTAATGCTCTATAAATACGCACCTGTATGAGGCGTGGGAAGTAAAAAAAAGTGCAACATATTTCGCCAGGATTGCACCCAGGACTTTGAGATATGAAAGATGGCACCTATACCACAAAACCACAATGATTATCTATGATAAATCAGTTGTATCACTTCAATTTAGATTACAAGATTTTACCTCTAGCGTTTCATTGGGGTTTACGCGGCCTGCTGGTAAGTACCATTTTCTCCGGCAGCCTGGTTTCGCCTCTTGCACCATCACCACCTGCCCATTATCGTTGAAGATCACCGCGGCTACTATGATGGTCAGGTTCTCGTTCATAATCGCCGGCCGACTTTCACCAGCCTTCTTCCGCATGATGTCATACTTGGACACGGGCAAGTTAGGTGGCTGGCCAGAGAGCAGTTCACCGACTGTCTGTTCAATGTCCGTCATAGCCATCTACAAAAGATTAATTGTAGATTTCCAATTATTTTATAAAAATAATAATTAATAATAATAATAATTGAAAATTTTTATAGCACAAACTATAACACAATGTTAAAATCAAAAGCACTTATGACTGAATGTTATGAAGTTTCCTTAAAACGTAAAGCTTTGATGTTAGTTTTGAAAGTGGATATTGTCGAAGATTGCTTTAGATGTAATAGTAGAGATTTCCAGAGTGTAGTAGCTGCAAAAGTGAAAGATCTGTTGCCGATAGTTGGTTCGGGGAATACATAAAGGCAATGGTGAGAAGATCAAAGGCAAAGAGACTTGCCCGCGTCCAATTTATGATTTTCACATTGATATGACATGCTATAGTTATTAATCAACCTTTCTTACCTTAACCATACATTATTAATTATAAATAATAACTATTTATATTTAGAATTAGAATTATTCAAAATAGCAATAAGAGTAATCAGAAATATCTACTATTCTTGGTAATGTTTTTTAAAGCACAATTTTACAGCTTAATATAAAGTTTTTAGATATATCAGTGTGGCACTTATGAGTGTCATTCAAAATATTTTAGTGTTAAAAAATTCTATGATAGTTTTTACATATGAAAAATTAGTTACGATGAAGCCATATATATATATCAAGAGAGGTTGGTTACTATTAATATTATAACACACTGAGAGTGACTCCTCTAAACAAATAATTATTATATAATTGGTGCATCGCTTATTTGAGAGAGTTTATTTCATCATTTACAGTAATTTTTTGTCTGCTATAGAGTAAAAAGAAAATCAATGACAGAATACTAATTGTAATCTATAGTAGTAAAGTCTTCGTGGTTAAGATGATTGCCTTCCAATCCCAGGGTTCTGCGTTTACTTCCTGTCACGCACAAATTTTCTCACGACTACAAAACCAACTTTATCCCAAAGAATCATATAAGAGATTTAAGTTTTAATTGGTATCACTTCCATCCTGTAACTGTTAAGTCATTCATTGATGAATGTGAAAAAAAATATAGAAGTTAAATATAGGAAAAAATTAGGGTTTTTTTTTTTTTTTTTTTTATCATAATAAAACAACTCCACTCCCTAGATTCATGAGAATTAGTTTATACAGCATCCAATTTTTAATTTTATAAGAACACATTTTATAAGAACAATGAGTCTGAAATTACCTAAAAATTAAGAACAAAATAAAAACAAATTGAGGCTGAGGTAAGATTTCAGATGAGGTTTTTAGTTTAAAAAAAAATAGAAAAACCAACAAATCTTCTCTGTACCTACCTGTACCAGTAGGTGTGACTATATTATGTTACACTTGATATATAGTACAGTAATATACTGATGTACAATAATAATTCTTTATCTTTAATTAGTGTGAATGATAATAAAATAAGAAGATTTTGCGCCTAAAAACATAAAAAAATAAGAACACTGAGCCTGGGCAAAATTTTACTGGTTCTTATAAAAAAAAAAGTGTGCTGGAGAGCAACTTGCTCTATTCAGAGCACCCAGTATACATAATATCATAATTTGTCATAAAATTCAATATTTGAACATGATATTACAATAAAAAGGTGCTTCTTCAAACTAAAATAGATATGTAAATAAATTACTAAAGGTTAATAAATATTTACAGAGAGGTCAACTACCTCAATTTAATCTAAACAGATTATTTAATGTAAAATTTTGAAAAATACAGAAATGCAGTCAAGAAAAATACAAATATTTACTAAAATAAAATATCAAGTTAAAAAGAAATCATTTAATACCATACCTGTGAGTTTATAACATGATGGGAATAGTACCTGTAATCCATTGTAAAGAGTTTACTGTAGCAGGCTACACTACACAATACCTCTTGACTAATCTCTATTACTTTATGGCCATATCAACTATTGAGAGCAGGGTATGGAAAAGCCGGTTTAATAATAGGACATGTTGAGTAGAGCAACCAATCAAACGTGTCGACCAATCATAAGTGGAGAGAAACATGCTGGAATGCAAATAATATGTCCTAAAAGACGATGATGTCATTACGAGAAGACGTTTGTTTTTTGTTTTTTTGTGTTTTCTTATAAATTAGTAGAATTATTCAGTGAAGCTTTAGAGGAAGAATCAGATATGTATGTACATGTGTGACCCTCAACAACAAATAAAGCAAAGGAGTACTGTTTGGTTTCCAAAAAATCCAGTATTATTAATAAACATTAAAAAATTATCTTGAATTTTAATAATAGTGGTTTGAATCAAATTGTAATAATTAGCAAAAATTGGATTTTCATCATTTTTCATAACTTTATAATTTCAATATTTTATACACTATAATTATTTCAATGGTTTAATCATCTGTTACTAAGAATCAGAACATGTTTTTTACAGCACTTATTTATTATTATATATTTATATCCTACATAGAACAAAAAATATTTCTTTGTAAAGCTGTTTTTTTCCAATTTTATTTTGTTTTCTACAGTATATGCTCATTTTAAAAATCATCCTATTAACTAACTATTTTCTTATTATCTCTACTAGTAGATGGTTTCAAAAAATATAACACTGCAAAAACAGCCATGCAGGTGCCAACATTCTATGCAATTGATAATTAATCTGAACTGAAAATTATATAGCAATTTAGTCTAAGGGGTATTAATACAGAACATATACCAAATAAATGATTAGCATGTACATTATTCATATAATTAGATCATTTAATCAATAACTATGTTGTCACATTTACAATCCTCTTTTGACATCATCAATGAACAGGATTCATCCCACCGGAATGAAGGATCTAGCATCATCCTGAAGAAGGGTATCATCCAAGAAAATTATATATTTATTGTTATCTACAAATGTGATGAACTTATTTAATGAATAACTATGTTGACTTTAATAGCCAACACCAAGCTAAGTAAGAACTATGTAAGTTGTAACTGTATAAGCCCATATTCTGGGTTATCGTATACTGCACTGTTCAGTTGTATGCGATAACAGTACTATATTCTAATAAGAAAGTATTATATGGGCAATTTGATGGAGTTTTGCGTTCACTAAAATCACTTCAATTGTGTTTTAGTTGATTATATTTGTTAAACAAATAGTCAAACAAGTTTGAAAAGACTGATGTATCAATTACGTTGGCAAAACCCAGTTTTGTTCTCTGACACACGTTTAATCATAATACAGGCAAACTTCAAAATACGTCAGTACTGTAAATACGTTTCTTAGAATGCAAATGAACTGTTTATTTAAAACAGGTGTTAATTTTCAATGTTTCTTTAACATTTGTTTATGTATACAGTTAGCTCTATTTTTGTAGGCAAGTATATTTTACCAGCATGTAATCACACTATCACATATGTTTTGAATTATTTTTGGGATTCAATGATGATTAGTGTTTGACTTTGAGATGTCTTTGATAAATTTTGCTTCATAAGATTCCCTACTATTAGGTAAGTGTTTTGCAACTGCCCTGGTGGCATTGACTTTGAAACCTAACTTTCAGCCAATTGGAAACATGAAATTAATTGTTTATGATCAGCTGTACAGTTGGAAAAAGTCATAATTCTTTCAAAATATAATTTGAACTTCCTATGAAATTTACTAAAGTACGTGATTTGGGTGGATCTCCATATCACCATTGTTCTTGACCTCATCTCTTGACCTTCATATTAAACTTATATACACTGTATACAGTATTAGCTGAGTGAATATGACAGATGTTAAAGGCCAATAACTTTCTTCTTTTAAAGATGTGTTTGCAGGGAAAGTTATGACTTGTTTTTCCATGCTATAATCTTGAAGGGAAATAGAAAATCGAATGATGTCATTAGTGGGTGGGTATACAAATTCTGTGATGAATAAAGATGGGTGTTATGCACTGTCATTGTTGCTATATGTTTTAGTTATGCAAGAATGAGGGTGCATCAGAACCACTGGGTGTTTGTAAAAATGTATAAAGCTTAATCCAGACATCAATTTTTGCATTGCGTCATATCTTTTCTTTTTCTTTTTTTTTTAAATTTCCTTCACATCCAACTGCAAGTACACTTGCCACTTACAGGATGAGAATCATGCTTTATATAAACCAAGTCTCTTTATGAGGCAAAACCTTCATAACCTTTATTGAAAATACCGAGCATGGAAAAAAAAATGGAAATTTGTCTTGAAAAATCAAAATATACATATTGAATTTTGAAGTATACAATTTGTGTAAACTATGAATGTTGGAGGAACTTCAGATCTATAGTGCAGTGCACTAATCAACTGGCCTGGACAATCTTGTCACAGTTGATAGCTTGCTACTCTATATTAGAGAACTGTACTGTACTATGCTGACCCATATAAACATAGAAAGATATTGCTTTGGGAACATGTGCAATTATTAAAGAATGAGTGATTGTGGCAATGATTGTGATGATGGTGATGATGATGATGATGATGATTCCATTATTTTGATATGATGATGATACTAATGAAAAATATGATTACGATGAGAATAACGGTTATCACAATTGTATTAGTAATGAATTTCACAAATAATAATTATGAAAATGATAATTATATTCACCATCATTGTTCTCAACATGAAGCCATAAAACAAACCAAATTTTGAGTTAAACTCAAAATATGTAAGGCAGGAGTGTTTGGCAGACTGTCAATTAAGAATATAATAATAATAATAATAATAATAATAATAATAATAATAATAATAATTATAATAATAATAATAATAATAATAATAATAATAATAATAATAATAATAATAAGTGATATGGCAGCCATTTATACTATTTTTCATTTACTATATGTGTACAGTATTTTTCCCCTTGAGGGTGCAAAAGTGCTGACTCACTGAGGTACCCAAGAAACTTTAATGCAAATACAGAGAAGGCTATAAGCAATCACATACAGTAGCTGAGGCAAATGCAGGATTTGGCAGTTGGGGTTGAGATGCAAAACATTGAGAATATGGACTTGGTGCCTGGAAAT